ACTTAAATTTTGATCTATAAGGTATTGCTACATAAATAGCCTTAAAAAGGCTTCCTTTTTTACTAGTACAACATCTTTCTCTCAGCACTTAGAAAAGTCTCGTAAAAAAATTAACAAAACGAGTATTGAAAATTTTTTTGTAAAAAATAGATCAGTTTTTTTCATCAAAGCAAGCCTTTTGCCAGTTATATTTTGGACGAATCCAGTAGATTCATATATGAAAACTGGCATTCTTTGCAAACTTCGTCGAAATCTTAGTCTTTCCCCTCGATTTTGATCCAGAATCATTGGTAGATTTTCGAAACAAAGAGCTCCTGAATAAGCTTACTTAGTATAGCCTCATTTAATTCATTACCATATATCATGTCTCGTTTTATTTATATTTGATCGCCCAGATACATTCTTTCTGCACACAGGCTAATATAATAATTATAATTACTAACCCCCTCAGCTTTGCGATTCGCATGGGTCCTTATGATGGAAGATTTTTGCAGACTGCTTGGTCCTCGCATTCATTTAAGAAAAGATATTCAGACTCCTGGTTTTCTACCTGATCCCCCTATCTCACGCTCGTAAATCTTCTTCTGCCATTGTGATGACTATTACTTTGAACTGTTACCGGGTATGATTCCTAAGTCCGTTCAAATTTAGCTATTCAGAAACACACAAGTCGTATTTCAACAGCGCCCTATCTGTGATATAAAATTTGTTTCACTCGACATCAGCATGTCTTGTCACATCAGACGTAATTTATTTAAATCATAGATATGAAGACCAAGATTGTGTGGCCTTCTGTTTTGTCGCAGTCTCCTTTAGCCTTATAGTGTTGATTCGACCTAGTTTTTAGAACTTGCTCGGAGCGTCAGGGAGACCTTACTATTTATTTAAGCTTGGTATAATAAAGCTTTATATATATCAGAATCGCACTTATGTGCCGGCACAATTTCTATTTATATAACCTTTGATAATCCATATTACACTTTATTCATTTTGTCAATCCCGACAATCTCCTGTTCTTAACGTAAGTACCATGGCTTTCGGCCTACTTAACCGTAAGATACTTTCTTTTCGACCCATCTATCCCCTTGTGCCATATAGTCTATCCAGTCGTTAGCATAGAAAAGAAAGTTTGTTCAGAGCACAGGCCAAGATAGTGATTTTTGTGTTTGCAACTCGTCTTCGCAACTCGATCTTATCAACTAATATAGCTTTCGGAGAACACAATTCATTATTGGGTAGAGGTTGTTTGACCTTGTTTTCGCAACTTGGTCATATTGGTAGGAAGA